TAAGGAGAGCCATTTTAAGTCACATTCCAAATTATGTATAAACTGAGTGCAGTGCAATGGATGAAGGTTCAATTATTATTATTTACAATTTGTACTTTCATGTTAAAAAAAAACAAAACAAAACTGCATTTGAAGGTTAATTCATAGTCAGTTAGTGCAAATTACTGACAGCCAAAGCGTAAGAGGACATACACCCTCTGGTATATGTGCGCACTTTTATAGCCTCTAGCAGTGAACAATGGCATTGTTACGAATCACCAACTGGGCCCTGTTGAGCAAACAGGACATCACTGGTGAAGTTATTTTCGTCTTTGCCAATTAGGGAGTGATAGGTGTATGAGTCTTAAAGTTTATACTCAATAGTGTTTGTGAAGGTTTGAGCAGAGATTTTAATGATGCACATGTTATACACTCCTGCATGAAGGCACTGAGACTTTTGGGGGCTGTTAAACATACAACTTAATGAGGGACAAGTTGCTTCAAACATGACCTGACTTTACCTTTTGATAACAAAGTACAAAGGCTCAACTTAAGTAGATGCCTTAGCTAGTTTAGAACTTCACAATATATTAAAATTAAGGCATTCCTCAAATCCAAAGCAGTAGTGTTTAAAAATGTAAAGAAGAAAATTTGAATAAAATTTTAAATAGAACTGCCTGCAGTAGGATTTAAAAAAAAAATAAAAAATTAACCACTAAAGCATGGACATGAGAGACACGCTTTTAATTTTTTTATTTTTAGGTTAGTGACACCGCTACGGAAGGCACTGTAACTTTTTGAGTACAAGATTATCACAACCTTCCGAGATCAGAGAAGCAACAAAATACAAAAGGACCTACTTGAGATATCTACAGTAGTCTTCTTGTTTATTTTGTACCGCACACATTAAAATATTCCAAAAATAAATAGTGAAACATTCATCGTAATGATGAATGAAGGTGCATATTACAGACAATAGGGTTCTCCGCTGCTCTGAATTTTTCTTCTTCAGCATTAATGCTGTTTGTGTCCACAGATTTTGTTTCAAAGTGCCCACTTTTGGCCATTTTTGGGTCTCTCTTTATATCTCTCAGTAACTCTTTCTGCACAAATATTTTACATCTTCAAGCAATAATGATCCTCAGACCTCTACAATTCAGAACATCTAAAGGACATGTCAGTTTTCTTTAATAGTACCTTTACTGCAATTACAAAATGACAAGGCAGAAGAGATTGGACAGGTGCAGTGAATAAAACCTCTGTGAAGAGGAGGAACTAAGTGCAGCAAAGGGGTGGGTATGACATGACTCTGGCTATTCTGATGGAATTAGACATGCTTTTATTTTGGAATTACAGCAATTAGTTAAGTGGACATCTCTTGTGTCTAACCAGAGTTTAGGTCACATACTTTGTATGGCTCTCCTGGCAGAAAATCCTTATCATATTGTCTAAACCTATTGCAATGTCAACCTTGTGGCAAATGCATAATATCTATTGTTCCTCCCCCGAATTGTAGTTTTTTCAGAGAACAAATGCCAGTAAAAGAGCATACAGATAATTACAAGACAATAAAAGTGAATTAAAGGCAGACTAATCAAACTGAATCAGATGTAATGCAGCTCATCAAGCCTGTATGAAGAACCCCACCTATTTGGTAGATGCACAGACCACCAGCTTGTGACTGTGTGCTTTTTGCAGTTGAGAGCTAAGTCATACTTAGTGAGGAAATTTCCATGCCCATTCAGGCTGTGCCTTATCATTTATAGTGGATGTACATTGCTGCTCAGCCCTGTACACTTTTGCAAATTCTATTCACCATTGCCTTATTAATTGCAGCTCATTGCTCGAACCTTTATGAATTATGGACTAATTTGAGGGTCTCTGCCTTGTTTTCCATAATTGCTGCCATTTCATCAGCAGGCCTGAAGTGTAGCTGAAATGTCATTAAACATGTGGCCATACCTCAGGCTTTCATTTTCCCCCTCATAAAGCTAGAGCCTTCCTCCTCTCCTCTCCCTCCCTCCTCACTGTGCTATTATGGCAGCCCCTGGGTTTCATTAGATCTGGAGCGAGATGAAAACCTCCACACCTACTTTACAACACCAGTCGCACTGCAAGTGCTTATTAAAGCCAAGGGTACAGTTAAAGGATCATGTGACTGACCAGAAGGTGTCCACAAGTGGGCCAGAAATCTGGCTTTGTGTGAGTGATGGTGTCAGGAGTTGAGGGTGCACAATACTGTGAAGTAGAGTTGACTTTTACTGAGGTATTGACCGCTTAAATATCCAAAAGTTGTAACCTTTTTAAGGTGACCCAAGAAGCACATGATAGGCCAGATTTACAGAGGTAAGATGGTAGGCGGGGCTTGTGTTTTTTAACTATTTCTGTTTCTGAGTAGATGTGCAACTCAATAGAATGCCATGAAGGCCTTTGATAAGGGTCTGCCTGCTTGTCTAGAAGTGTATTATTCCCATTTGTGCAGTTCACAGCACTGGGACTACAAAGACTTGCAATAAACCCAGACCAGAGGATATGATGTTGGACTAGGTGTAGCTAGGTGTCATAGATACGACCACTTGAGCCTTTCGATATGATAGGATTGGAAAACATATCACACAACCTGCAGTAACTCATATTAAGTATGCTGAGGCCTAAATGGTTGTTGTGTCAAAAAACTGCAACTTAAATTTGATATATACACTTTTTTTTTTTTTTAAATCAGTGTTAGCTGTATGGAGCTGTATGTGGCTAGTGCAAAAAAAACTGTTTCTTAAGCAAAAGTCACATGTTTGTGGTTATTTAAAAAAACAAACAAAAAAACCCCAAGTGCTATATTTATGCTATGTTAATGCCACCCTTTATCAGTTAAGAAATTTAAAAATTTGTGTCGTTATGGAATTAAAGAGGATAGATAATCATAGAGGAGCCTTGAAGCTGATGTAGTCTTTCTGGCAAGACACATCTTTTGTCATTTTAAACCTTATTTCTTGTGTACTCCAGAAGGACTATAATGGACCACATTCGGTCTCTAAACTGAGCCAGGCTTTACTATCCAGCTCAGAACACCATCTACTTCCCCCTCTCTCTTTTCTGTCTATCTAGGGAACACAAAGCAATCAATGCTAATGAGCCAAGCCAGTCTCCCTCCTCAAATAAAAAGCTAATGAAAGACAGGGAGATGTTGAACAGACCACTTGGGCAACACAATTATTTCTGGTTGGCAAGTGGTGGCCCTGCAGCCGCCCTCTGTCCTTCGATAAATCAGCGTTTTTATCTCAACATGAGCCTCTTCACCCAGCCCTTCTCATTACACAACAGAATATATGGTGGTGTGGGAGCGTTAGCAAGTCAAATGCTCGCACACTCTATGCTATGTCTGTGGGGAATGGTTCAGGATGCTCATTGACTTAATGAGAATATGAAGTTAGATTAAAAATTACTACCAAACAGTATCAAACAAATGACAGGGGATGAGTTGTCAATTTGGCTTTAGCTTTGAGGCCGAGCGTGGTGCTACCAGTTTGTGTAGGGAGGCTGCAGGGGAAATTAGAAAAACACATAAACACAGCAGTTTTCCTAATGCTCATGATTAAAAAGAACCACCACTGTCCACTTGGGTTTGATTGTTGTTTTGACACAACCTCCTGCCAGTTCACATTAATGCACTGCTTTTTGTAAAGCTAATATGAAATCCTGTGAGATCGGTTTAAACTAGACTCCCACTCTCTTTAAAAATTACTAAAAAATCC